CGCCAATGCAGGCCTCGTGCCTCCGTCCCCGCCCACTCACATTGCATTCACATTTTGAATATTGTGCCCAGTTTTGGTTCCCACATCTCAAAAAAGGACATGGAAGAACTGGAGAAGGTACAGAGAAGGGCAAGGAGTGGCTTCCATATGAGAAGACTAAAGAGGCTAGGGCTATTCAGTTTAGAAAACAAATACTTGAGGGGGAACATGACAAGGGTTTACAAAATATTATATGGTAAAGAAAAAGTAAATAGGGATTTATTATTTACTCTCAATACAAGAACTAGAGATCATAAAATGAAACAAACAAATAGGTAGTAAGTTTAAAACTAACAAAAGAAAGGCAAAGGGCTGGGAGAAATGCTTTTGAGCTATGAAAATGTGACATCTAGCCTCTTACAGGTGCTCAGGGGGGCTCTGTGGCCAGGGCTTTGCTTGAAGATGGGACCTTTCAGGTCCGAGTGGTCACACGAAACCCCAGGAAGAAGGCTGCAGAGGAGCTGAAGCAGAAGGGAGCTGAGGTGGTCAAGGGTGACCAGGATGATGAGCAGATGCTGGAGCCAGCTCTGAAGGGAGCATATGGAGCCTTTGTTGTGACAAACTACTGGGAGCACTGTAGCAAGGAGAAGGAGGTTGCACAGGTGCAAAACTCAGTTTATCTAAATGCTGTATAACACATTTGTGGAACAGAGAAGGATCTAATAGCTGCAGTGAGAGAGACATATGACACAGTCATTCCACAGCTATGGCTTAGTGCAGTATGGCCAGCACCAAGTAATCAGAAATCCTGAAGCAGGCCCTGGTTTTGCAATACTGACATTGCTGGGTTTGCTGCGATTGCCCTCTGGCCCTTAGGGATCATGTTTTCAAGCTTTTCTCCATAACCAGGAGAGGTAGAACCAGAGCTTGGTACATAGTGACTCCAGGTGCTGATGCACACTCTGAGTTCTGATCTGCACTAGCAAAGCCCTCCTCATTCTTGCCATTGCCATTACCCTGCTCCCCGCCTGGTGAGGTAGGCTCAGAAGTTGGACTGCATGCAGGACAGAAGTGGTAGACATCTCACTGTCACACACTCTAGGAAGATACTGGCTCTTGCCCTGTTACTGTGCCCTTCACTGTACCTGTTATTCTTTCAGATGTGCTGCTGACCTGTTTTTGCAGGAAAAAAAATCTCTTTGTAAAATAGTAGTCACTATGTCCCCCTCAGCAAGGTGTGCACGTCAGAACAGGGAAAGGACAGCCCTGAGCTGCCTTTAGCAAGCATTGGTTTATCCATTTTTGGTAAGGGACCAGCCTGTCCCAGTACCCAAGAACTGTGCACTGAGGAACAGTATTTCCTAGTCCTAGGGAGGTTCTTGGAGCATAGGTGCATCCTGGGTGGAGGGTTTGACTCACAAGAATCGCCTAAATTCAGTTTCCCTTCCCATACCTGATCCATGCATAGGGCAAGCTGTTGGCTGATATGATGAAGAGGCTGGCCCTGTGCTACGTGCTGTACAGTGGCTTGGAGAATGTGAACAAGCTGATGGAGGGCCGGCTGGAGGTACTTCACTTTGATGGCAAAGGCGAGGTTGAGGAGTACTTCCGGATGACTGGTGTCCTCATGACGAGCGTCCGGCTGCCCTTCTACTTTGAGAACTTCCTCACGGTCTTCTGACCCCAAAAGGCCCATGATGGGGAAGACTATGAGCTGGGTAAGGGGCCCCAGGGAGCCATGGGAGTGTGTAGAATGTAGTTCTTATCTTCTTTCTAATAAAATTTTCTATGAATCTATGATATCAGAAGCATTGGGATGGACCAAAGAGCCTTTTTGCTCCAGGGGTCTCCCCACACTGCAGTCAGAGGTGTGAGTGCAATGTGGGGAATGTACCTGAGGTAGCTTTAGTCTAGTCAGCTTAGGTAACAACAGTGGTGGAGAGGCAGCAGTCCAGGCTTTAGTGTAGGGTATATAGGCCCACTGGAGACTCAGAGTATTCCTGAAACCATGCTAACACCTGCTCTTGACACAAACCCTCTGCTCCACTGCTCCAGTTAAGATGTGGCTCTAATGTAGAGCTGCTTTCTAGGTTCCAGACTGTGCAGATTAACAGCAACTGGGGAGGAAGCCAATAAAGGCAGTAAAGGGAGATACTAGCTTGGGCAACCCTTTCAAATAAGTGCTGAAGCAAAGGGGCATGTTGTGCTCCATGATCTGGGCATGCGGCATGTCTCAGGGGGATGGCAGGGATGAACAAACCCTCTGCACCCAAGGCTCCTTTCAGCAGCATATGACCCTGATTCAGAGGGAATTCTCTTAGGTCCCTAAGGCCATTTCCCCCTCATGCTGTTTAAAAAAACACCCATTTGCAGGGCCCTAAACCTGTTAACTATGGCTCCGTGGAAGGCTGGTATGGCTCAAATGCTACAATGTCCTTGACTAGAACTTGGGTCCTTCACACTCTCTGCTCTGCACCTATCCCCCTGGGAGAGACTCCCATGACTGGCATGGCCGTTGCTGATCTGGGGCCTGTGGTGGTTCACCTGCTGAAGTCTCCAGAGAAGTATGTAGGCCAGGACCTTGGGCTCTGCACTAGCAAGTTCACTGTGGAAGAGTACGCTGCCACCTTGTCGAGACATACTGGGAAGGCTGTGAAAGACACCAGGGTGGGAAGTGCTTGGTTTTATTCTTTCTGCAGGAAGGAACAGGGACCTGGGCCATCAAATTCACCTGAGGAGGTAAAAATGTGCCAGTGTCTGCCAGAGGGAACTGGGTATTCAAGACCCTAGAAAAGAGGCAGATACTCACCACTCCCACACCATGCTCCTATTCAAGGTCTAGGGCTAGACACTCACACTTGCCAGTCAATCCAGAAGATCTTAGTCCCTGGGCTTTCCTTTTAGGCAGGACCAAAACATGGATGCATGCAAGGCCTCTGTGTTGTCCATCCATGTAGCCCAGAGCAGGAGGCTGTCTGACTGACACCAGGGAAGGCACTTAAACCAATAGTCACAGGGGCCACAAACTGCTCTTCTCATTTTTAGGTGTCCAAAACAAGATGCCTAGGATTACATTTATGGAACGGAGTGCCTATGACTGTGACTGAGGTCCGTGGGAGCTGTGCTTTGACCATATAAAGGACTATAAAAATTCTAAATCCTTCTAAAGATCTGGCCATAAGTGTCTGTAGTTGGGCAGCTAAAGTTAATGGACATTTTTGATAATTTTGGTCTTAACCTGGCTGTGCCTCAGTTCCTATCTTTTAAATGACAATCTCCCCACCCCCACCTCAAGGGACTGTGGTGGCAATAAACCGCTTAACAGTGGTGCAGCACTAGGACCCTTGAGAGAGCTGTCAAAATGTGCAAACAGAAATTCTGCAACACTAGGTTCAAGGGTTTAACCTTTTCCTGAATGAGGCAGAGTGTAAAAATAGCATGTAACCTTGTAGTTCTACTGCCTAATGGAAGGATGTCCAACTTTTAAGCCCCTGGGGACCACATGCCACAGGCCGCACCAGGCCACTGGGCTGCATGCCACACAGACACTCCCTTTGCTATATTGCCTACCCACACATGCACCCCCCTCCCACATGCACACACAGCTGCACCACTTGGTTGCATTCTCTTCCCCCACTCCAAATACATGGGGTCCTGAACTCACTCTCAGTTCCCCCACAACACTGCAGCACCCAGGAGTGGAGGCAGGAAGTGGGGCAGAGGGACCAGGAGACTCTGTGCTGTTGCAGCTGGGACAATAGGCCAGGCAGGAGCCCAAGGGCTGCAACTTAACCCCTTGTGGGCCACCTGTGGCCTACAGACTACCAGTTGGACAGCTCTGCCCTAATGCACAGATCCCAGGGGGTTGGACTGAGGTTGCATAGAAAGGCTTAATTCTGGCATTCCCTCAGTTTAGATTACTTGACTTTGCTGCCTTTACATAGGCTGTGGGTAGTGGTGGTTGTTCTTTTGTATCCATTTTGGATTCTTTGAGGTGCTGCCCAAGCAAAGTTTGACACACAACCCATTATTTATGCCTCAGAGTTCTGCCAGCAAAGGTACATCAGCTAGAGATGCGAGACAACTGCATTCATCACTGATGCAGTTCTGGTTGGAAAACCCCAGGTACAGACACAATTCTGTCAGCAGAAGGAAGTGTTTGGCAGCGAAGCTTTAGTTGTTCAGGGGAACTGTGGTAATTTTAGAGGCAGAACAATTCCTGTTAATAGCAGAGTTGCATCCACAACATGGGTCCTACCTGCATTAGTACTGCCATTGTAGTTAAAGCAGCAGCTCTCACAGGCTTCCTGCCTCTGCCCCAAGCCTGCTTCCCCAGAGCTGATTTCTTCTATTAGTCTTACTTGATTTTGGACAGGTCCCTGCAGTTTTTCTCTTTTTTTTTTGTGCGCTGCCCTGAATTCTGCTTATAGGTTCTATGAAGGCAGTGGATTCAGTGAGTGTTCAAAATACAGGGGGGCTGAGCCCCCCCCTAAGAGACAAGAGCTTCCCATAAGCCCCCTGTGGCAGAGCACGTTGGGTGCTTGCCATGTTAAGGATGCGTGAAGGATTTTAAGGGGGAGGTGTGTGGCGATGCACCTTTCGCTGCTTGCCACTTTAAGGGCCTGAGTCGGCTGTGAGGCAGCCTGCAGGTGACTGCAGAGCTAATCAGGCAGTCACATGATAGCCAGGAGGCCACTTGATTGGAGCAGGGCTGAGCAGCCTCAGAATAAGAGCGGGGCCTGAGAAGCAGAGCTAGCAGTTGCAATTGGGGAACTGAAGGGTGAATGTCTCCTGGTTGGAGTACTGCTGTTCCCAGAACACCTGGAGGTTAAGGGTAGGAATGGTGGGGAAGGAGGAGGTTCCTAGGGACCCAAGGGGTCCCAAGCGCTGAGGAAATGGGTATGGGCTTAGGGAAAGCGAGGCCAGCCTAGGAAAGGGGCTCGGAGAGTGTGGGCCTACTGAGGGGCTAAGGAAGCCCCTGATTACATCTAGTAGTGAGGTCAGGGGCTCAGATGAGCCCAGTGGAGAAAAGGGGCTGCCTTGTGTAAGATCTCTGGGGGCAGCAGGCCAGCCCAATAAGAAATTATGGCTTTATGGTGGGGCCCAGAGGAGACCCCTGCTGAGTAGAGAAGTCAACTGCTGCTACACTGATACCAGGGGAATCTCAACTGATCAAAGCAAGGGGGCCAGGGCCAAAAAGCTGAAGGGCAAGTGAATCTACCGCAAAGGGCAGGCCAGGGCTCTGGAGAGCTACTGGCACCCCGAATCCTCTGGAGGCGAGGCCAGAGCCTAAAAGAGGATGAAGGACCCTTCGATGGGGGGGGACATCAGTGCCAAAGAGAGGATAGGCAATCAGCTGGACAGCAAGCTGTAATGATGGAAGTGGAAGCCCTGCCTCCTGAAGTGAGGTATCCTACGAAGGGCTTGAGAGATGAGGCCAGGGACCAAGAGTAGGCCATGAATTGGAGGCTGCAACAGAGTGCCCAGGAGTGAGTTGCCCAGATGGAAGACCATCCAGGAGCCCAGTGAGGGGAAGAAGGACTAGGGCAGCTAGGCCTGCAGTGGTCCTGGGGAATAACCTAAAACTATACTCTGCTGGAGTTGGATGGTGTGGTGGGACTGCCCATGGTAGGGTGGTCAGCAGAAAATGCCACACCTGTGCCTGCCTAGTGAAAAGCAAGTATGAGGCTCTGGAAAGCCTCAGGCCCTGCTGCCTTGTGGGTGACCTGTGGAGGGAAAAAGCTAGGGGAGCACACCCTGAGAGAAAAGCACTAGGCTTGGGTGACAACACAGGGGCCGGGAGGGCCTGAGGCCCAATGCCTGAATGAGTGAGGCCTAGTGGGAGGCCAAGAGCGGGGCCCAGGCACATCGACAGACCTGAGGCCCAAGGGGTGCAAGGCCCAGACACCCCAGTGAGGGGGTGGAGTAGTGACCCCAGTGAGGGGGGCAGAGTGTGAGGGGCTAGAAGCCTAATGTGAAGCAAGGAGCCCAGAGTGTGTGGAAGTTGAGGCCCCTGTGAGGGGCTGGAGTTGAGGGCCCAGTGAAGGCATGTGGCCAAGGCATGTCTACAGAAACCTGAGGCCAAGTTTTGGCCAGAGGCAAGTGCAGCCCAGTTAAAGGGCCAGGAGAGCAGTAGTGATTGTGGATGCCACCTGTGAGGCATGGGACACCGTATTATCCACACAGGAGAGGTTGGAGCCATGTATTATGCTCTTGGCATCAGAGTATTAAATGGGCAGCCTCCTGTGTTTTTCCATCTGCTTTCTTTGATACATCAAGGCATGGCAGGAAGATTAGAGCAAACTGCCCTAGACGGGTGGGTGGGCTGACATTGTGACCGGCCCCAGAGATGGCCCCCTGTCACAGTCCCCTATAAGAGATGAGAGGTCTTATGGAGAGGTCCTGGCCCACCCCATGCTTTTCTAAGCAGCTCAGGTGGTGGCAGTAGCAGCAGCAGCACCAGGTCCTTCCAGCTTCCACTGCTCCAGATTCCCCCCACCCATCCAAGAGTCAGAGTATAATTTGAACCCTGAATTCTGTGATCTTTCCACATGGCTGTAGAGCTGGGTCTGCACTTTGTTACAACCCTCTGCAGATTTCTTGCCTACCCATAGACTTGTCCCTTTTCTGTAAAGATTGTTTATTCCAGGGCCCCAGTCCCTTTTATTCACAGCTGTTAATAAAGCTGCCCAATAATCCTGTTTAAAGAAAGATGAAATTGAGACATAGAAATCAAAGGTAAAACTTTCAGTTGTAGTCTCTGCTGTTGGGTACCTCACTGCGAATGGTTAAACTTCCATACAGACAGCAACTGGAGTGCCAGCTACTCAGGCTCTCCAGTCATGTCCTGGCACCTCCAACTGGCACTTCTGGAAAAACATATGTAAGTGTGACAGGAGCAAACTCCCAAGCCTGGTCTCAGTACTGGCCCGCTACCTGTCTATGGGCAAACCTCCCGCCTCACTCCCTTGCCATGCCTTGTTGTTAAATAATTCAGATGTTTAGGCAGGAGGCTGCCCTTTGAGCACCTTGTTGTTCCTGGATGGTAAACACATGACTCCAACCATCCCTTATCATGTCCCATGCCTCATAGATGACATACAGTTTGTTACAGCTCTGGCTTCAGCCAGGCCAAACTCAGTGCATTGTTAGGCCTCTTGCACACTGCCCTATTAAGGGCCACACCCATTCTGACCTCCTCTCACTGGGGCCTCTGACACTCTGCATGCTCTCACCCAGGCCTCTCTTACACTGCCCTGTTTCTGGGCCACATACACCCCACCCTGCTCCCTTTGAGCGACCACATAGGCCATCAGGCTTAATTCTCCACTCCTTGGCCAGCCCTGTCACAGCCTTTTGGGTCTCTCCCACAACTCTCATCTGCCTGGTGGCTGAGCAATTTACCAGACTGTGGGCTGACTCTGCTCTTAGCCCCCACTGGGCCACTTCACCCCTCCTTTGGGCCAACACTCCACCCCTACCCTGGGGCCCGGGGTCTTACACCCCTATAGGTCTCTCTCTCTAGGTGTGCCTGGCCTCAACTCTGCCCTTTCATTAGGGCCTGGGGTCTTACACCCCCTTTGGGCTCAGGTGCTTCTCTGTAAGTGTGCCTGGCCCTAACTCCTGGATCTTAACCCCTTATGGGCTCAGGTGCCTCTCATTAGTGTGCCTGCCCCTGCCCTCCTTGCTCTCACAATAATCCACCAGATGGTGAGGGCTGGAGTTAAGGTGCCCCTACCCGCCTTTCACCAGGGAGGTCAATGGTCTGGCCTTCTTGGGGACTCCCATGCCACAGGGAGTCCCACCAGGCCACCCTTCCTCCGCAGGGTGCAGTTTCCAGCGTGCCCAAGACCAGGAGCCTCCTGCCATCCTCATAGCTCCTGCCCTTACCTCTAAGATGTTTCAGGAGCAGTAGCTCAGCCGGGTGATGTTACTTCCTTGACGGCTGGCAGCAAACTGCTGCTCCAGCCCTGAGACCTGGGCTCTAAAATGGCCGCCTTCTTCAAGCGCCTGCTGACTGCCTGCTCCAGCCCATAAAGTGACAGGCACCCAAAAGGTGCTCTGTCACATTAAGTGATTTATGCTGAGTTGCAGAGGGACCTCCATCTGAATGGAACCAGAACTCTGGCACCCCAAACTCCACACTGCAGCTTCAGCTACTATTGCAACTTCACATCTGTGTGTGCACACTTCCTCCCTCCCCCCAGTTTTGCTCTGTAACACCTCAGAGGAGTAGTTCAAACTGCTACAGTAATTATGGATGTGTGGTGCCACCTCATGGTTAAATGAATGACAAACAGTATCCTGTTCAGAGTTTTATGGTAGTAGAGTGGGTATTCCAGGGATTTGGAAGAGGGGAAGTGGGGAGGGGGAGAGGTGCTGCCAGTGATGGGGATCTAGGCAGCAGTTGGGGAGGGCATGGTAAAATCACATTAGTTTGTTTCCTGCAGAAGCTATCTTCCTATAAAGCACTTCTAAGGACTTGGACTTCATGCTTGCTTCAATTTTATTATGTGGCTGCTGGTTTTTCCCCACTCCAAGAAAACCAAATCTAAATGTCACTTACAAATCAGTACTAGACCCAAAAAGCAAGTTGCATCAAGGCCCATACCACCATGTTAGAAATATTCCTTTTTAAACTCTCTACAGACCATGTTGGGGTAGAAATTTTACCCCATTTCCAGCAGGGATTAAGAGTAACATGAACTGGCCCCCTAATTCTTGTTCTGACCAACCAAGACTTCTCTACACTCCCATTCTTTCTGCAGATCTCAGCTGAGGATTATGAGAAGCTTGGCTTCCCTGGGGCCCAGGAGCTGGCTAACATGTTCCAGTTCTACGCTATGAATCCAGATCGCAATATGGAGCTGACCCTGAAGCTTAACCCTAAGGCCCAAACATTTGATCAGTGGCTGGAAGACAACAAAGTCAACTTCAAAACTCTCTGAGCCTCTGTGCAACAGAAACTAGTGAGTATCCCAGAAAAGCACAATTACTGTTAAGCAAGTCTGCATTTTCAGCACAACTTTCAAAATAAAAGGATTTGTTTCTGTAATTCGGTGAAAAACTGGAGCTACAATAGCCCAGTACCAGATTCTTAATAGTACATAGGGAGCAAACAAGAGCTCTAAGCTACAGGCATGTGCTCTATAGAATCATAGAATCATAGAAGTCAGGTCAGAAGGGACCTTGTAGATCTTCAAGTCCGACCCCCCGCCTGGGCGGGAGAAAAAAACTGGACTCAAATGAGTCCAGCCAGGTAGGCATCAAGTCTCTTCTTAAAGATCCCCAGGGTACGAGCCAGCACCACTTCCCTTGAAAGTTGGTTCCAGATCCTAGCTGCCCTAACTGTAAAGTAGTTCTTGCGGATGTCTAATCTAAACCTACTCTCCAATAATTTGTGTCCATTGTTCCTTGTCATGCCAGGCGGTGCTAGGGGAAACAGTGTCTCCCCCAAACCCTTCTGGTCCCCCCTAGTGAGTTTATAGACAGTCACCAGGTCCCCCCTCAGCCTTCTCTTGTGAAGGCTGAACAGGTTTAGGTCCCGCAGTCTTTCAATGAATGAATGATGTACCAGCCTCTCCCAATAACTAATGAAGGGTTACCATATTTCCAGTATCAAAAAATAGGACACTTGGATGGCGGGGAGGGAACAGGGGGAAGGGGTAAATGGTTGTGGGAAGGGGCAGTGATATGCCCATGCCCTGTCTCTGCCCCTTACTCCTAAGCCACAGCTTCCCCCAACCCTGCTGCTGCCTCTCACTCCTTACTCACTGTACCCCCGTCACCTCTGTTGGTGCCCCTCACTCCCAACTTGCAGCTCCCTGCCCTCCCACTCCCCAGCCCTGCTGCCCACACAGCTCGCATGTGCACACACATGCTCTCTCTCTCTGTCTGCTGAGGTCCCTTCTGACCCTAAAAATCTGTGAAATCTGTGACATGTCCAAAAAACCCCAAATGTATGGTAACCATAGAGATGACTAAATTAGTTGTTCTTAGAGTGCTGGAAAAAGTTAGTTTTTTTATTTATCTATTTATTCATTTACCTGGGGGGCTGGCTGGGAAAGTCCTGTGCTGTACTGCCCTGTTCAGAGCTGTAAAATATTACTGGCCATTTCCACTTAGCTTCTGGTGGCACAAGATCTGATTTTGGTCTTTTTTTCCTCCTAGTTCTATGATCTGGATTTCAGCAAAACTCACTCTCCCTAAGGAGTACAAGATTGGACTGGGTTAAGTACATATCCCTTTGCTTTTACACTGTTGTAATTAAAGTTGCACTTACCTGACCAACCATTGCAATACCAGGAAGTCATATCAATGTGCACAGAGGCTTCAGAGACAAAGCCAAGGTTTTCTAAAAGTCAGGCAGCTATAATTAACCCTTTACGTGTACAGCTTGTGGCTTAACTGAATTAGAGATGTGAAGGGGATTTTTATAGTTGGTGATTCCTGAGCTTCCAAGAGGGCACAGATGGAGAGTTAACATTTTCACACAGCCTGTTCTCAAAGCTTATGCAGGTGTGACAGGCTAGCCACTGGCGGCTTGGCCTGGGGGGTTTTGAAAAGTTAAAAAATTATTGGTGGGGGGGGGGACTCCCTTTTCTCCACCAATCAGGCCCCTAAAGAAGAAGGCTGCCCCCGCCCCCTCACCCAGGGGCCAGGTAGAGCCCGGACCTGAGTGAAGATTCACTTCTCATGTCTCCGGATGGGTCCCAATGGCCAACTGGTGGGGATAAAAGGGGCAGCGCACGTGGCTCCGAGGAGAAACAATGAGGGACGAAGGAGAGGAGTCCTGAAGAGCTGGTATGAGCTGGCCAGCGGGCTGGAGTGGTTGCCTCAGAAGAGCCCTGGGAGCTGCAGGAGGCAGCTCAGCGCAGTTGGAGTGCTGCACGGGACAGAACACGGTGGGTTTGAGAGGGACCCAAGCCTGGAGCTGCAGGCAGCAGCTTGGGCCCTTTCTTTTTCTTTCCATCCCTTGGCATGAGGCCAGGAGGATCCTGGAGGAACTAGAGCCCTGGAGCTGCAAACAGTAGCTCAAGCATTGATGGCTCTGTGGTAGAGTTCTGGCTAGCCACATGGAGGACCTGGGCTCAATCTCTGCCTGAGGCACCAGAGAGGTGAGCTGTGGGAAGAGAGATTCCTCACTGGGGAGGAAGGTTCTCCTTACCTCCTTTCCCTGCCCCACCCCTCTGGAGTGCCTGTGCCTCATATTTTGGGAAACCCTGCGCCTCAAGCTTTGTTATTGATTTGCCTCTGCTAGCTGTATATGTGTACCTAACCTTTACTGTATCCCCTCTTGCTTCCCTGCATTGGCACCCCCTGAGATTGGCGGTGCAACCCCTGGGCCACCTAGCATGGGCACCCCACCACTGCCAGTGACACCTGTGGGTGGTCACTGCTTGCCACCCCCGCTTACACTGACACCACCGGCAGTGTCTGCGGGTGGTCACAGACCACCGGTTGCCACTCACCGCTTGCCACCCCCTGCTGCCCACGCCGCCACACCTGCCTGTGGGAGCTCTCTGCTCACTGTCGCCATGCCCCCACTGCTGCCGCTACCTGCGGGCATTCTCCATGACCCCCCAGCCTCTGGGGTCATGCATCGTTCATGCTCCCCTGTTCCCCCCCCACAGGTACCCAGAGGATTGTACCCTTATTATCCAGGATCCTCCATAATCTCCTGCACATATGTCATATCCTAACCCGGGTCCTTTTAAATTGTATGTGGTTAAGTTCCAACTGATGTCTCGGCTCTACTTTATGGGGAATAGGAGGAGAGCTGCTCCCCATAAGCAGCCATGCCTCTTCCATAGCACACTGGCACCCACTAAATCCCTTCAATTGAAGAGGGGGTACCTTGTCTGAGTACCACCCAGGTTACATAGGCCATGGCAGAAGCAGGTTAAAATACAAGTTCCTGAACTGGCAAACAGTGGGTGCATCTAGACGTTCATTAATGCACTGTAATTATGGTGCATTACAAGTTTAATACCTGTAATAACAGGTTCTAAACAATGTGCTGTAATCAGCACTACTGCGCATTAGCATGGATGAACATTTTTTTTTCCTCCTGGTGTTAACGCACATTAGGCTAAGTCTACTGCGCATTAGCATATTTAGGCCAGTCACGCTAATCCGCAGAATTAGTCTTCTGCACATTAAGGGCACGTGTACGTGTGACTAATTGCCTGTTTTTGTGGTTTAATTGCATCACACTTTACACATACGGGGTTTTTTGCTATTTAAATGAGTTTTTTACATTGTGAAATAAACCACATCCCAAAGGTGCACATTGAAATGATACAGCCATTGATCTGTCACGTGTACATGGTAATTCACTGCATGATGTGTAATAAGCTAGTTTGTCCACCAGATGTCACTTCAGTTTGCAGGTATTTGTGTGTAGCAGGTATTTTTGGACACCAGGTGTAAGCCCAGCCGGACATAAATCAATCTTCTGCTGACCTACCCAAACCCCTGCACCTGCCCTCCATGGCCGTAGCCAGGATGCCCGCCTGGGCTGTTACCCATGGCTTCCAAAGAGGGGCCTTGATTGCCAGGGGAAATGTTGGCCTATAATACGCCCCTGGTTCATGCAAGGAATTAATAACCACCTGGTTGCCTAATGTGGGAACCTGGGAGTGCTTTCATTTACCATTCAAAGCAAATGGTGGCTGCCTGGTCCCAGGACTGCAGACTGTAGCCTACAGGCACCATAACATTTTTTTTCATTTTGTGGGCACGAGCTGACAGCATAGTCAAACCTATGGGTCCTCCTGGCAGCAGACATCCCCAGCAAGCTGCCACTGACTGCACAAAACCCCATGCCTGCCCTGCACGGCCATGGCCAGGGTGCGTGCCTGGGCCATGCTGCCCCTGGCTCCCCAAGTGGGGGCCTTGATTGCCAGGGTCACTGTCAGCCCATAATCCACCCCCGGTTTATGCAAGGAATTAATTACCCCTTGTCCACCTAGCATGGGCACCTGGAAGCAGTTTCATTTGCCATTCAAAGCAAATGGTGACTGCCTGGTCCTACAACTCCCCAGGTCCAGGGAGGCTAGGGGTGTCAAGCAGGGCCAGGTGTCTGTTAGGCACCTGTTGGGGGGGCCTCCCTGTCACTCCCCACCCACAGTCCCCCCAGCCCCGACAGTGCCTCTTACTGGGGAGCTGCCAGCACAGGAGGGGCAGGACAGGGATTTACCAGGTTTACCAGTTTTACCTAACCCTCTGTTGGTCCCTCTGTTGATTTGGCAGTGAGGGGAACAAAGACAGGCAGCCAGGCTTGAGTATCTGCTAATTGCCCGTATTGAAAGAATGTATGCCTATCAAGCTAATGCAAATCCCTCCATTTGCCTGTACACACATGGAACATGAAGTCAAGCAAATATAAACCTTTATTTACATAATTAAACATATTTTATATATTAAGCATAATTTACATTATTTATCAAACCACAAAACCACATTTACACAGTAACAATAAGCAATAACTAACAAGCCCACAGGCAGCGTCAGCAGTACTTCTTTCAAGGGGTGTACTGCCAATTTCAGGGGGTGCATGTGTACCCGTGTGCACCCCCTATGCATTGCCAATGCCAAGAAGGGGTTGCCTGGCTGGGGGGGGGGGGGGGGGG